GACCCAATCTTTGTAGTATTGGGGGGTCTCAATCAGGACGATGGAACTTTCGCGCAGGCAAAGGATTACCTTAGAGCCGAATTTCATTCCGATGATGTTCCAGATGGGTTTACCCCTGGGGCCCATGCGTGCCTGCAGCCGTTGATAGTTGGAGAAGGTAGCGAAGAAAACCCGGCTGCCTTAGGCAGCTCGGAACCTGGTGTGGCCTGAGCTACAGATCGGACGTACTGGCCAAGAAGATAGGCCAGTGCGCTGTATACCTTGCGTGGCATTGCTCCGACTGTGCTAGATCGTCGGGGGGCTGGGTCTACTTTCGAGACCTAGTACAGACAATAAAAAGACAGCGGTTTTACTTTCCAGCCGTGCGCCCTGGCCGTGCATAGCTTAGCTGCGCTGCCGCCAGGGGCGGTCGAAGTTTTGGGAATCTTTCCCAATGATAGCCCCAAGATTATCGGAACAAAAATGCACGCCATGTGGGCGCGACACAAGGAGGGCGCATTGCAAGAAGAAGACAGAGGGGAGACGCCGATGCCCATATTCTCTAGAGCATGCCAGGGACATTCAACGTTCGCTGCTTCAATTGAAAGGATGTACGTCCCCTATGACCCTGGCCAAGTCAGGAGTCACGACTCCCTTCTTCATATCACAGATTTACAAACATTCCTGGAATCTACGGGTGAAAGAGTTCGCTTCCCTAAAAGCGACTCTGGACTTTGCCAGGGCGCAGATTATGAGTTGTTGCGATTGCTTCCGGCGAACAATAGCCCAACAATGCCTGATCCCTCAAATACTCCTCCGTGGCTAAACCAGCGGAGGTATGGACAGCCACTCGCTGCGAGAAGTCTAGTGCCCATGAATGACCCAGCTCAGGAAGGGGGGCCGCCATCGGCGGGGACTTGGCCCGCAGATGACACTCACAACCTATGGCCACATCTCCCCAATCACTATGAGCTATGGGATCTCTTCCTTCTTTTCACCGGCAGAGTGCTCACTCGCTTCTTGCACAGGGTTTGCCCAGACGGGGCCCTAGTGTCTCGAGAAGTGCCGAGGTTCACTGACATTCTCAAAGCCGTCTCTCTTGTGAGACAGGCAGATCAGATGCGCTGGGCGGTACTCTTCAATCGCGAGTTGTCTTCATGCGAGGTCACCTTCGACAATGAGTCGATTATTGCCTGGGTTCATACAGACGAGAGAATAATCATATCATGGAACCACTGGCCAAGATTGTCGACCGAGATCCAGGATCGAATTATATCCATCCCTTGGGAGGGCGACGGGAGGTTCCTGTGCGGCTGGTACCGCTGGGTGAGGACAGGTTTTGCCAACTGTCCTGTCTGCGATTGTCCAGTCAAATACAAATACAAGGTCACGCACGATTACATGGCCCAGACGTGGAACCACAAAGTTATCCCTCGGTCCCTTGAGGCGAACGGCCTCTTCATAGCTGTGGATCATGAGGAGGGTCTTTCATGGAATCGCCGCGAATATATAAAGGCGCGTGCAAAGAGGCAAGCGAGAACTTCTGCCAATGTCCTGAAAAACATCAGCAACAACAATCAGCAGGGGCGAAAATGGGCCTCTGGACAGCTACAACAATAGCAGCCGCTGGCACTACACTCGGTAATCGCCACCCTGGCAACTTTCCAGCTTGGGTCCCAGAACACGCCGAGGCTCAGCCTCCGGCGCGACATGTCCCTTTCTTTCAATATTTGAAGCCTTTGGTCAGAGGCTTGAATATTCAGCCAGAAACGTAAATAGGCAAACCCCGCCTATTAATAGTTGGTGGCCGAAACGCTCGCCCGAGATCTTGCCCAGCCCTGGAGGCCTTTTATTGGCCGGGCGAAGAGGATGACTTAGTCACTCCTCGGAATGGCTGGGAGAGGTGTTTCAACAACATGACTAGAAGATATGTCTTTGTCCCGACGCTTAATGCAATAGATGACGCGGTAAATTTAGGGGGGCCGTGGTTTGGCGCATTGGATGAATAATATGGGAACGACGCCGGAGACAGCGCCCCCCCCTGCGCGATTGCCGGTCGCTAGGGATAACAATTTTAGAGCGAGGCCGACTCGCAGTTCTCAGTCTGTCTCAAGACGGGTTAGCATGTGTCGGGACCACCGTCTTATTATCCCCGTGTTGCGACATGCCACCGGCGAAGCCGCGATGGCACGCGAGCAATCACAGTTGGATCTGGATCTCTCAGCAATCGGCGGGCCTGAGGCCACGCTGATAACTGACGGAAACATCACTCTTGACCATTCTGAGGGGCACGTATACTTTCACCGCGATGACCCTTTGATCCAAATAAGGTTGTTCGGGGCAGAAGTTAGGGCAATTGCAGCCCATTATGTAGTTGAACACACAGGCACAAACCCTTCTAATCCTGGCAGGGTTACCCTGGCCGGAACGACAGGACACGTGATCCCGGAGATCATTCAGAACATAGTAGATGACAATTGGATGGCCCCAGTACAACGAATGCAATTCGGTCTTCGGCCCATAAGGATTTCTGCACTTGTCAGTGAAATAATCAGCTTCTTCATATCGGAAGATTACTTTATTGGTTACCCAGGGCGAATCATCCGTCCCGATATGGCACGCACGGAAATATTGCTTTGAAAAGACGGACCGGCGGGTATGCCTTGGACTGCCGCATCCGTGCCGCTGTTCAAACGGACGACATAATAGAAAAGTGGGCCCGCAAGATGGGCAGGGAAGTGCAGAATGATGTCCGTCGCCATGGTGCTCTTATACAGGAAGCCATTTCTTGGCTCCAGGATGAATATCCTGTCCCTGGTACTGAACTCCAGGACAAAGACTATGGACCCTTCCGTGCTGCGCGCGGAAAATATGGTGTCGCTGCAGCGACAGCTGCCAGGAGCTTAATACAATTCATGGGAGATCGTAGGAATAACAATCCAGACCACGACGGCGAAGCCGAGTTCGCGGGGCCACGGGCGCTGGCTGGACCGAAGGCTAGACCTTTATCGCGCCCTCCGCCTCTTAGACCTGGCGTCTCAGACGTTCGGGTGCCCGCAGACGCCACCGAGTCCCCGCGTTCTGTCGCCGGCTCAGCCGTGACGACTAGGGAGACATACCCTCAGCATCCCAGCATGAGGGATCGGTCGGATTTACGGCGCGCGCGCGCGATGGGGCCATGGATGCTGCCGGCGGCGCGGCCATGGATGCTGCCAGCAGCGCTGCGGACAACAGCTACGAGTACGACCCGTCCATGTCCTACCCGCGCTACGTGAACAAAACCCACGCCGGGCACTACGTCCATCGGAACAGGATCACGTGGCTGCCCGACGACGAGTGGCACACTCTGAATTACTGGCACGCGCTATCAACATGGGAGCACATCTTACGCTTCCCGTCAACAGGGACAGCATCGACGAGCGACACTGAAAAAGGAAGAGGGCGGTCCCGCACGCCTCGTGGCGTGGAGGCACAGTCGGGAGGATCGGCGTCGTCGAACCCGCCGCCTCCGCCGCCGCCCAGAACAGAGGACGAGCCCAACCCGCTTGAGGACTTGAGCTGAGTTTCGCCCGCGTGACTCAGTCGCGGCAGGCGCATGCAAGACAATTTCATCCACGCGCGGAACGCGCATTGGATGCGAATGCCTCTGCTGGTCGGCTAAGCCGGTCCGGCGGAGAGAATTTATTTATCACATTGGTGGGAAACGTCGAGCCTCTTCGGCCCTTGGCCCCCTGGCAGCCACCGTTGAGCTGTAAAAGCTTTTTCGGGTTGGCTCCGGTGGTTGTGCAAATGTACAGGCCGGGGGTGCTGTGGCTGGATGGGCTCTACGCGGCCCGCCGCGGGGGGAGTAAATCTGCTCCTCTCCGCCTCATATTAAATGAGAACTTAACTTAGTTTGCATGCGTTGCACTGTCCGCTGGAACTAACAGCTGCGTTCCGCAGCTGTATGGATGCTCGAACAAGCCAGCCTTGGCTTGCAGGAGAGAAAAGGAGCGCGCCAGCCCTCGGCCGTCGCGCGTCGTCGGTCGTACGTAGGCCAGCCGGCCTCCTCCTTTCACATTCCTGATAGAGTAATTTTGCTTAACGGATACTTGTCTTTTCGATGTCTCATCCCGTCCCCTCTCCCCCTGAGCAGAGTGAACATGAGATATTAATTTCTTTGTCATCTTACCCCGATTCTCAGAGGAAGAACTGGAAGAGGAGGAGGAGGAGGAGGAGGAGGAAGAGGAGGGGAAGGAATAGGAAAAGAAGGAGGAGGAGGAGGAGGAGGAGGAGGAGGAGGAGGAACATGAAGGAGGTGGAGGAGGAGGAGGACGAGGAGGAGGAGGAGGAGGAACATGAGGAGGAGGAGGAGGAACATGAGGAGGAGGAAGAGGAGGAGGAAGAGGACTGGGAACCGTCCTGGCGGCGGTTTTGGGGCCCGCTGGAGACGTGCTGGAGGCAATTTTGAAACATATTGGGCCATCCTGCGCAATTTGGGAGGAGGCCATCTTGAGCGATCCCTCCTCCTCCTTCTCCTCTTCCTCCTCTTCCCCTTCTTCCTCCTCTGCCTCCTCCCTATACCATCATGGGGGGTTTTTGGATGGCCAACGCCTTGTGGGAGTGGCCGTCCAGACCCAGGGGAGGGCAGGGGCGGATCCCTTTCCGAAGCGGGTTGGAATCCAATCAGACTCTGCAACTCTTGGCTTGCAGGTGGGACCACATCGCGCTTTAAAACGGCGATGTTAGCAAGGTGCCGGTATTTTACAGGTACGTACTCGAGTTGCGATGGTAGTTAGTGGCAGCGGGTTTGTAGTTGTGTTGGATAGGAACATGCAAATGCAATGTCCCCTGGCGATGGTGGACGTTTATCGGGGTGGGGGGGTGTAGCGTCATGACTTGCGTCTACGGCGTCTGGGAATGGTCAGGGATCGCTTGGACATATAGGACTTGGACGTAGAAGTATCCTTGGGGGATTCGTGACATTAGCTATGCGTAGCTACTGGACGTGGGAGTACTAGGAGATTGCTAGGATTATTAAGGAGGCAAGACATGCCCTCGGGCGCACATCGTAACGTTCTCGGGCAGTCGGGAACCCACAGGAATGCTGAGCTCGACCCTGCCATTACCACATCAGCCTGCGAGCGCCACACGCATGCGCAACAGTATACCGTAGCCCGCCATTATGTACCACAATGTCCTGCGAGCGCTGCAATATGCCTGCGATCGCCAGCAATGTGACTGTGAGCACTTCTCACATATTTTTTCATGTAAGCCTAGCCATGCCCAGCAGTTTACAAGTTTCTTACTGATCTTAGCTGCCACTCGCTGTTCATGAACGTTCCCAGGATGGCGCCGGCGCGAACTGTGACGTCCCAAGAACCTAGCAATGGCCATTATTATCGCGAATCGTTGCAAACGCTCTCTGGAGTCGCCACTGCACTGGAATGGTAAGGCAAGGCAACGCCTCCAGACAACGCAACCCAACCCAACCCGACCCGACACAACACAACACAACACAACACGACACTACAACACAACATAACATAACATAACACACATGCACCTGTGTGAATGCCATCACTCGGATGCCGTCCGTTCATCTGCATGCTGGACGGCCGCGCTTCCTCTAGGCCACTAGTTCGGGAACCCGGCATTCGCTGAGTCGCGAAATGGCATTCGCGACAGGAGTTCTTGTTGCTCGATTGGTGACTTCCTCGTGAAGCCTTCCCTTGGCTTGCCGCGTTCTTGGCTCCAGACAGCCACGCGAGTACTTTCCTGTGAGATTGTTTTTAGTCTCTGGCTTGTAACGGTCGTTACCCTGGCCCCCCCCCCCAGCGCAACGGTACCGATCGTACGTGGGCGGGGGAGGTTTGGACCCCCCGCACCCTCGAGTGCACGAAGGCATGTGGTGATGCTCTCAGGTATGCTGCGGATCTCGCATGCTCACCCCGCCCGAGCGTCACCGTTATCTGGCCCCACCCCTCGCCAGGTAGCGACCGTTATCCCAGATATTCAAAACAATCTTCATTCTGAATTTAATGCGCTTCTCATGGAGTAGTCTCACTCACTCAGAACAGTTGCCACGTTTTTACATGCTGCAAGGAACAGCCAGTGTAGCGGATCCCCACCAGCTACCGCTAGGGGGAGCTACGTGTTCCACCTGTAAGTCTCTGGCCTGCGGTCGTTCGCCAGAGCTTGCAGTCTCAAACCTCACGGTCCGCGTCAGCGTTAAGCGTCTTTGCGAAACCCCTTTGACAGCGGCGGTGGCTTTCTCAGAACGCGGCGAGGTTTCACAGAAGCCCTCGCACCTTCTGAGAAGCCGTCTGTGTCTTCTGAGGGACTTAGCAGACTTTTCAGAAGGCGCCAGGGCTTCTGATAATCGTCGCCGCATTTGAACAGGCCTGCCCCCTCTGGCTTTGGCCCGCTGCTGCTGTCGTCACTATTGTATTCTTATGGCTAGTGAGAATGTTCTCTGCGGCATTCTCGGCAGGCATCTGCCAGTACTTGGGCTAGTTTCGAAGACTGCCCTTCAAGGAGGGTCGTTTTGAAGTTGGCGTTCCGCGCGGTCTGGCCCACGGTGGCCTTGAGGTTGCGTGATGCCGAAGCGCCCATTTTGCTTCATTGTACCTTTGCTGCATTCGTGCGCTGTACCCTTCCGAATTCTGAGCCTTTCGGCTACATTTTTCCTCAGCAGGCGGGCCCGCCTGCCTGCTCCCAGTGCGCCGCCCTCCCCTTGCTTGGGGGGAGTTTCATCGTGGACTTGCTCTTGCCTTGGAAAATACAGTCATGTTGCCGCCCTTCTCAGAGAGAGAGAGAGAGAGAGACTTCCTCCTTCCTGGCGGGAGGTGCCGAGACCGCCGAGGTTCCATTCGTTTGCGCACCAGTGCCGGTGCGGCGCATACGGTCGGACCGAGGTATGAGATGGAGGTCGGTTCGGGAAGCGTATCCTGATATTCTTCGTGTTTGTCGGATGTTCTTGTGCATCCTGGGGGAGGGTACCCTCGAGTGTTCTTCAGTCTGGCCGGCGGCGGGTCTCATGTTCTTGAAGGATGTTCTTCTGTCCTAGGTCTGGCCGTATTGATCTATATTACGGTAGAGACGCATTCTAAGCATCGTAGACGCCTAGTCACCGCCGTCCCGCCTTTCTGGAAACGCCGACGCGGTCAAGCATTTGGCCAAAGCTTTGCCGAGCTATTTTCAACGGTGTGCTCCGGCAGCCGTTGTGGCAACTCTTCTGGGAGCGCTTAGGGAAGGAAGAGGGAAGGAGTAGTTAGGAGTATGAGGAAGAGGAGAGGGAGGACGAGGAGGGGGAGGAAGAGGAGGAGGAGGAGGAGGAGGACGAAGAGGAGGAGGAGGGAAGGAGGCTGGCAGCCTCTGGGGCCTCTTGGTGGCCTCTTGGGGCCATACGGGGCTGTCTTGGAGCCATCGTGGGCTGTCTTTGGGTCATCTTGGCCGTCTTGGAGGGCATCTTGTGCTGTTCATAGATGCCGTGCAGAGCTATATTGGCCGATTTCGAGGCTATGTTAGCCGTCATCTTGTACCGTGTTTTGCCTTGCAGGAGTCTGTGCCGTCTCGGGGCCATCTTTGAGGAGGACTCGTGGTCCGTTAGGCTGTCAGAAGCACTCGAGTGCGAGAGCCTAGGGCACATGGATGATTTTTGCGTGCTCTCGCCCTCGTGGGGATCCTCTTGGAGGCCTCGTAGGACGTCCTGGAGGCATCTTGCGGCCATCTTGGGCACTCTCGACCGACTTAGAGCCATCTTCGGCTTGAAAACGGAGGCGAACCACCGCCGCCCCTTGCCTTTCAGAAACGCCTATGGGGCCAAACAATGGGCCAATCTATTGGACTGTATGCCCCCCGAGCCGCCATGGAAACCCTTGGAATAACACTTGGGTGAGGAAGAGTGACAGGAGGAAGATCATGAGGAAAAAGAGGAGGCGCAGGAGGAGGAGGAGGATGACGATGATGATGATGATGATGATGATGATGATGATGATGATGATGATGATGATGATGATGATGATGATGATGATGATGATGATGATGATGAGGAGGAGGAGGAGGAGGAGGAGGAGGAGGAGGAGGAGGAGGATAAGCAGGAGGACGACGACGACCAGGAGGAGGAGGAGGAGGTGGAGGAGGAGGAGGAGGAGGAGGAGGAGAAGGAGGCGGCCTCTTGGGGGACACTGGGGCCCTCCTGGGGCCTCCTGGGCTCCTGGGGGCATCTTGGAAGCCTCTTGGGGCCATTGGGGACGTCTTTGGGGCTTTTTGAGCCTTGTTGGGCCCCCCTTGGTCCGCCTTCGAGCCTTGTTGGGTGCTTCTTAGCCCGTCATGGGGCTATCTCGGAGGCTCCTGGGGCCACATTGGGATGCGGCAGGCTCGAAAAGAAAAGACCGCGAAACTCATACGAACAAAGCTGAATACTTATTGCCTCTTCGGGCCCTGCTGGAGGGCTTCTATACCGTCTTGGGAACTCTCATACCGTCTTCAGGTCATCGGGGCCGTCTTAAGGCCATTTGAGACCGTCTTGGAACCATCTTCGGCCGTCGTCGAGGCATCTTGGGACCCTCATCAGCTCTCTTGAGACCATCTTGGCCATCTTGGAGGCGTCTGAGGACCACCTTGGAGGCCATCTTGGAGGCCTGTTGGCGCGCTGAGAGGCGAGTTCGGTGTTTCGGGGCGTTTTCCGAGTGGCCATCGGGTTGGGACTTTTGAAAGGGTCCCAGATATGTATATAACTTGGGACGGCACGCGCCACTGTGTAAGCGAACTTCCGCGGACGATTTGAGTGCACCGTACCGCGTTGGCGTCTGCCGAGGCGTCGTGTTTCCTCGATCCAGGAATGGTACGGTACCTCTTTACTCGGCCCCCAGAGCAAAAACAGCGATGCACCGTATCGCGGTGAAGTGGGGCTTGACGGGAGTCCAGGCATGGTGCGGGGCATAGGGCGCAGTTCTTGTAGAACGGAGCGGCGGATTTAGTGGTAGTCGGCCCATTCCGCCCGGATCGTGGACGGGGGGCCTGTCAGAGGCGTCTTGGGGTCCTTCGGGGGCCTCTTGGACCCGCTTCATTCAAGTATGCCTCTACTATATTGTAGTGGCCTCCGGTTCCGTTGCTGCCAGAAGCGCGCGATGACGGTCATGACCAGCGACGACGGCGAGCGGTGAGGATGATGATGAGGATTGGGAATGGAGGCAATGGAGTAGGATGAGGAGGAGGAGGAGGAGGAGGAGGAGGAGGAGTATCATGATGAGGTGGAGGGGGGTGGGGGGGAGGGGCAGGAGTAGCAGGATGCTGAGGATGATGAGGAGCAGGAGGAAACGGTGAGTGGAAACGGGGAGGGGGAAAAGGAGGAACTCGACGAGGATGGGGAGATTTTCGGCGGTTGTTGGAGATGTTCGGCGGTTGTTGAACAGTCTCTTTGGGGCCAGGTGTTGGCCCTTTTTGGGTTGACACCTCGCCGATGTGGCGCGCTCTCTAAAAAGCTTTGTGCTAGAGCTGCCTGCGTCGCAGTTTTTTTGTGGAGCCTTGTGCATCACCTGTCTCTGGGGTCTCTGGGGCATTCGCGCGGTCCTCTGCGAGCCCTTGTGGGATCACGGATATGACGGACTACGAAGACGGAATAACATGTGAAAGCGTGGAAAAGACCTTTTGTATTGCAGCGCTTGTTTTCATACGTAAGCGTGGGATTCTCGGAGGGAGTGTTGGAGGCAACTTGGAGGCCTCTGGAAGGCGTATTGGATGCATGTTTTGAGACTTCTGGGGGCCTAGGGGCTTCAGGGGGCCTCTTCGGGGCCAGTTGCAAACGTCTTGGGGTCTCTTCATGCTTCTTGGGGGCCTCTGGGGGCCTGCTGGGCGCTTTTTGGGGCGTCTTCGGCCTTTCATCCGCCGTCCTGGCGCCCTCTCAGGCGCCTCATGGGCCTCCTGGGCTTGGCGTTTTTTTTGCCGTTTTGGGGCTCTCTTGGGGCGTCTGCGACGCTCTGAAGGCTCAAGAGGCGAATCTGCTAAATTTGTACGTTTCCCCAGGGGAACGGCCACGTTTTGCGTATTTGGGACTTTCTTGGGAGGCCTTTTTCAGGGCGTCTGAGGGCACCTTGGAGGCTTCTGGAGGAGCCGTCTTGGGGACATTTTCGGCGTCTTGTAGCGACCGTTCGGCGACTCGGGGCCCTCTTGGCCCAAGTTGGGGCCTTCCTGGGCGAGGGGGCCGTCCCGGAGTGAGCTGGGTCTCCGATTCCGCTCCGGGAATTAAATCGACCCCCCCCCGTCCCCCAACCCTGGCAGAGCCCACCCCCCAGTAGAGCTGAAAGTCAGGACTCGGGAATTGAACCTCAGGCAGTTCTGAGCGTTTTTGAAACTCACTCGCCGGATCGGCGGATTGTCGTCGCTCCCAGAGAGGGGCGACTCGCGCACGCTCAGAAATCTTATGGTGTATGATCGGTGGCGGGCGCTCTCTCGTCATACCGCTGGG